CTAAACTACGTGGCGGACTGCAGAGGAGAGGGTCCCGTCTTCTCCTGATGTGTCGACGTAACCCCACCCCGCGCTGTCTTGCTCTTCCCACCACTCCTCCCCCTCCCCCGCCACCAGTCCCCTGATTTTCCCACCCCCTTTTTGCGCAGTTAAAAAAAAAGTAAAGCAATTTCTGCCGCGAGCCCAGGATGGGCGAGCCGCCCGAGATCTCTTCAAGATACCCCAGGGGCGGAGGAGATGGGCTGGATTTAGTAGGACAACTCGGTTACTAATGACTCCGCGGCTGGCGGCGACCCGCCGGGAAATCAGGTGCAAGCATGTGTGTGCCGGGACGCGCGTGTGGGTGGGCCGGGGGGAGGGGAGGAGAGCAGAGACCGCCCGGAGAAACGCAGTGATTTCATTCTGCCGTGTTGCCCACTGCCCGCATCCTTCCTCCCTCCCACTCCGCCCCCTCGCTTTGCCATTTTAATCGGGCTTCCGTGTCTCTCTCTCCCCCGCATCCTGCTCTCTCCCGCCCCCCTCCCCAAGGTTTGCCTGTAGGTACCTGAGCTGACACCGACGGTGCCTAAAGATGCTGAGCGGCGTTTGGTTCCTCAGTGTGTTAACCGTGGCCGGGATCTTACAGACGGAGAGTCGCAAAACTGCCAAAGACATTTGCAAGATCCGCTGCCTGTGCGAGGAGAAGGAAAACGTGCTGAACATTAACTGCGAAAACAAAGGATTTACAACTGTCAGCCTGCTCCAGCCCCCCCAGTATCGAATCTATCAGCTTTTCCTCAATGGCAACCTCCTGACGAGACTGTACCCGAACGAGTTCGTCAATTACTCCAACGCGGTGACTCTCCACCTCGGTAACAACGGGCTGCAGGAGATCCGGACCGGGGCGTTCAGCGGCCTGAAAACTCTCAAGAGACTGCACCTCAACAACAACAAGCTCGAGGTGCTGAGGGAGGACACCTTCCTGGGCCTGGAGAGCCTCGAGTACCTCCAGGCTGACTACAATTACATCAGCGCCATCGAGGCAGGCGCTTTCAGCAAACTGAATAAGCTCAAAGTGCTCATCCTGAATGACAACCTTCTGCTGTCCCTGCCCAGCAATGTGTTCCGCTTCGTCCTGCTGACCCACTTAGACCTGAGAGGGAACCGGCTGAAAGTGATGCCCTTCGCCGGCGTCCTTGAGCACATCGGAGGGATCATGGAGATTCAGCTGGAGGAGAACCCCTGGAATTGCACTTGTGACTTGCTTCCCCTCAAGGCCTGGCTGGACACCATAACTGTTTTTGTGGGGGAGATTGTTTGCGAAACTCCCTTCAGATTGCACGGGAAAGATGTGACCCAACTGACCAGGCAAGACCTCTGTCCCAGAAGGAGTGCTGGTGACGCCAGTCAGAGGGGCAGCCACGCTGACACACACGTCCAGAGGCTGTCGCCGACGGTGAATCCTGCTCTCAACCCCACTAGGGCTCCGAAAGCCAGCCGGCCTCCCAAAATGAGAAATCGTCCGACTCCCCGGGTCACCGTGTCAAAGGACAGGCAGAGCTTTGGACCCATCATGGTGTACCAGACCAAGTCCCCGGTGCCCCTCACCTGCCCCAGTAGCTGTGTCTGCACCTCTCAGAGCTCAGACAACGGTCTCAACGTCAACTGCCAAGAAAGGAAGTTCACGAATATCTCCGACCTGCAGCCCAAACCTACCAGTCCAAAGAAACTCTACCTAACAGGGAACTATCTCCAGACTGTCTATAAGAACGACCTCCTCGAATACAGTTCTTTGGATCTGTTGCATTTAGGGAACAACAGGATCGCAGTCATTCAGGAAGGTGCCTTCACAAACCTGACCAGCTTACGCAGACTTTATCTGAACGGCAATTACCTTGAAGTGCTGTATCCGTCCATGTTCGACGGACTGCAGAGCTTGCAGTATCTCTATTTAGAGTATAATGTCATTAAGGAAATTAAGCCGCTGACCTTCGATGCTTTGATCAACCTACAGCTGCTGTTTCTAAATAACAACCTGCTGCGGTCCTTACCCGATAATATATTTGGGGGCACAGCCCTCACCAGGCTGAACCTGAGAAACAACCACTTTTCTCACCTGCCTGTGAAAGGGGTCCTGGACCAGCTTCCAGCTTTCATCCAGATAGATCTGCAAGAGAACCCGTGGGACTGCACCTGTGACATCATGGGGCTGAAGGACTGGACAGAGCACGCCAATTCCCCCGTCATCATCAATGAGGTGACCTGTGAATCTCCCGCCAAGCACGCAGGGGAGATACTGAAGTTTCTGGGGAGGGAGGCGATCTGTCCAGACAGTCCCAACTTGTCAGACGGAACCATTTTGTCTATGAATCACAACACAGACACACCTCGCTCGCTCAGTGTGTCTCCCAGTTCCTATCCTGAACTCCACACTGAAGTTCCACTCTCCGTCTTAATTTTGGGCTTGCTCGTTGTCTTCATCTTATCTGTCTGTTTCGGGGCTGGTTTATTCGTCTTTGTCCTGAAACGCCGAAAGGGGGTGCCAAGTGTTCCCAGGAGTGCCAACAACTTAGACGTGAGTTCCTTCCAGTTACAGTATGGGTCTTACAACACTGAGACTCAGGAGAAAGCCGACGGCCACGTCTATAATTACATCCCTCCGCCTGTGGGTCAGATGTGCCAAAACCCCATCTACATGCAGAAGGAAGGAGACCCAGTGGCCTATTACCGCAACCTGCAAGAGTTCAGTTACAGCAACCTGGAGGAGAAAAAAGAAGAGCCAGCCACACTTGCTTACACGATAAGTGCCACTGAGTTGCTGGAAAAGCAGGCCACACCAAGAGAGCCCGAGCTGCTGTATCAGAACATCGCCGAGCGGGTCAAGGAGCTCCCGAGCGCAGGGCTCGTCCACTATAACTTTTGTACCTTACCTAAAAGGCAGTTCGCCCCTTCGTATGAATCTCGACGCCAAAACCAAGACAGAATCAATAAAACCGTTTTGTATGGGACTCCCAGGAAATGCTTTGTGGGGCAGTCCAAACCAGACCACCCTTTACTGCAAGCTAAGCCGCAGTCAGAACCAGACTACCTCGAAGTTCTGGAAAAACAAACTGCAATCAGTCAGCTGTGAAGGGAAATCATTTAGAACCCTCTGGCATCAAAGGCTGCTGCTCCAAACTGTTGGAAGCACTGCATTTGCTTTTGTGTTTGTTTGTGTTCTCCCTTTCCCAGCCTCAGTGGGGGACTCTGAAAATGTTTGGGGGATGGGGTGAAGCAATGATCCTGCTTTTTCACGTTTTCCTTTAAATTATTTCTCTCTGGCTCTCCCCACCCCCACCTGTCTTTCCCCTTCTCTCCTTAGGAACCATCGTTGAACATGAATTTTTTTCATGTATGTTGTTTATGGTTTTGTTCCTTCTTTCTTCTTTTGTTTTTCCAGTGTGGGAATGGGAAGAGGAGATTATAGTGAATGAAGAAAAGAGTAAGCGAACTTTTCCAATGAAAGTGGATATTTAGTGTATTTTGTCGAAGATCTCCAAAGATCTTTTGAGACTATAAATTCCTTTGTAAATAATGATATATGGTATTTCCGTCTTCAGTTACCAAGTATAGCCACTAGGCATCACTTCTTCATGTTAAAGTGCCTTTGCACTTTAAGTACATTACTTAAATGTTGCTTTTAGCTTTGATAAATTGAACATATTTTAATGTGTTGTATTTTTGAAATTGAAAACACTGTAAAATAGATTGAACTGTCAGCTATATTAAGTCAACGTACAGTTTGCTTGAGTTATAGAAACCAGCCTGTCATCAAATGATTCTAGTTGTAGGACTTTATAGACTTAACTGTAAAATATTTCCTTTCCTTTGGGTTTGTTCTAAGTGATTTTATTTAAGTCAACTAAGGGGATTTAACAGTGGACTAGAGGTAATAAACCACCTCAGTTGGGATTAGTAATTCATTAATAAAATATATTTAACCCAATATCAGAGTGAATTGAACAATTAATGCCCTTCCGTAAATCATTATTTTACACTAACATGATCAGTGTTTTAGATTATTTTCCTAATTAAGAATACATTACACAACTTGTAATATATTTTTTCTGCATTAAATTAGATATTTTTATATATTTAATGAAAGAGTCTGTATTTCTAACTTTTTAATTGAAATTAATATTTTTTCTGCCTCTCGAAACATTTTCTATAAACACAACCAGTAGAGGCCGCCACACACCTCATTTAATAAAGACATATGAGCCATTAAATACTTTGAAGGAAGACTTCAAAGGTGAGATTGAAACTTCCCAAGTAAGTTCTCTGCAAATTCAAGGCAGCAGAGACAAATGTGTATGTTACTTTCTGTTTCTTTTAGGATCAAAGATTAGACTCAGAAACTTTCTCAATTTTCACATTTTCAGAGAAAGCAGCGTTTCCCTCTTGAGTTTATGGAAGTATTAACGGGGTGCTATCAAATCCTGTACTATTTGCATCTCCAACCCGATTAATAAGTACCTAAACTAAGAAAGTAGGCGTCTTTTTTCTTCTGCCTTCTTAAGGCGTGTGTTACTTGAATTTTCCCTTGTCAGCTTGAGCAACCTTTTCGCTTTGGTCTTAGCATTAAAATGATTTTAACTAACCAAGTCTATATAACATTTATGAAGCCTTAATAGCCTGTAGATAATTTTTAGATGCAAGTATTATTGTGTGATTTAAACAAACAGCCCTTCTTTACAACAAAAAATAGTTTTGTTTTGTCTATTGTAAATCCTTATGCAACTGGGAGGGTGATCTGCATATAAAGTAGTCCAGCTTTTCAGTTCCTTATTAAAGCAATTGATGGCGTCTGAAAGAAGCACACTGTTTCCTTTTCATAAATAGGTTACTGCACATAATAATCCTTTATTATCATGCGGAGATTGAAGTGGATCCTGATAACTTACTTTTAAAGCTTTAAAATGACTAATAGTATATTGTCTGTCACCATAAACAATTCATGTGATAGGCTTTCAATTAGAAATTACTTAAATCCAAATTATTTGGATTAACAACTACTGGTGCAAAATAATTTTTTTTTAAACAATAGAAGGTAATTGTGTAGATAGAACTGCAAAGGGCATTCAGGGAAAAAAAATGCCTTTAATACCCTAAAATCTCTGAATATCTGCAGTGACAAGCTAACACGTTAATTCTTTGATTAGAAATCATAATTACTATTTAAATCCATTAGATCAAAGTTGAAGATGGTGGGCTGGAATGACCTACAAGAAAGCTGATGTGCAGAGATTTTACATTTCATAGAAGAGGAGCAGGAGTACACGCTAGTTGAACTTGGAGCTAGCTCCTGGAAACCACCTCCTCTTGTGTACGTGTAAGACGTTCCAACATCCTGCCGCGGCTGCCCTCGTTGGGTGCGAGGATAAGTACAGAATACAGAGCTAGGCAAATTAGTCTGCGTATTCTATTAAGATCATTTTGGGTCTAAATTGTATGACTAGAACTACTAATGCAGTGACTCCATTTCAGTGTTCTTATTCTCCTGAAAATCGTCATTCTTGTAAAATGCCATTATGCATAGAAAAACGAATCCATTCATCTTAAACAGAGATCGCTTACTATTCGTTTAGTTACATGATTTTAAAGAGGCCTCCTGGAAGAACTCAGATTCATAAACTCTCTTGCTTAATAATTATGGTTTAATTTTAGATTATCATGCTTCTTCGATTTGTATTTTATTTTGTATTAGGTTTTTAAGATGAAATCATTTGAACGTGGTCCAGACTATTTCATTTAAAGGCATCATACACCACATACTTGGAAGCTTTATTTTCTAATGCAGTCACAAACACTTTATTAACATATTAACATCCCCACTGACTATATTGTTTTGCTTTGTGCACCGAAGTGCTTTCAAACGTATTTTATTTTAGGATTTTTATTTTTATCTTCTACAGCTGGATTTTGCTATTCCACTTTTATTTCACATGCAGCTTGTAATGGGTGTGAGCGTCAGCACAGTGAAATGGTTCCAGCCAACAGAACACCATCTCCCCTGGCCCGGCCTGGGACAGATCTGTATGTCTGGCAAATGGTAATTCCCCTTGATTCTAGCTCTTGATTAGTTGTTTCCACTGTTTCTGAATATACCCGTGTCTCAGTTTGTATTGAAACACTCAGAAGCACCATTTCTCTTTCTGGACACGATTGCCAAAAGTCTAATTTGGTTCTGGACTTTGGTCAACCTGTGTGCCTTGTCTGTTCCTTCTAGCAGTTGGTGAGTAAGGAAATGACCCTTTGGTTTCCTCTGCTTTGTCCTTTGACCTCTAAGGTGGTTTAATTTTTCTACATATTCCTATGTCATCAAGGGCTCAATATTTTATGGATTTTACAAAAAGTGCATAAGCAACAAGAGGGAGATTCTGTGACTCTTCAGACTCTGGAAATTCATTTTGATTGTACACGTTCCAGAAACATACTGGATTGGATGCTAGAGTGAAGAGAGCCTGCCAGACAGTTCTCCCAGTGGAACCATTTCTTCATTCATTTGCTAAATGCTTATTGAGGCTTGCTTCCTGGGTGCCGGGTGCTGTGCTGTGTGCTGAGGGGCACACAGACGCAGTAGCCAGGGTCTCTGCGCCACCCCCCACCCCCCCACAGGGAGCTTAGTGCGCATAAAGGAGAACCTTATCTGAATGACAATCACGCAGAGTTAACGGTGGGAACAGTAATGAAGTGCAAAAATTTCGGTTTTTAAAGGTGATTCTGTGCAGTGAAGTAGAAAACTGATATATCATAAGCTAGCTGCTGTGTGACCACCATCAACATCTCTTTAGACTTACATGGCTAGAAAGGAAAAAGCCCCACAAAAATAGAATAAAACAAATTTCTGCAGAATACGGCCCAATATTATGGCCTGAAGAGAACTATATATTTGTGCTATCTGAAGATCTACGTTGTAACGATCACTCTCAAAACTGTAAATACAAAATCGCAAACATACTTACATTTTCTGGAATATCCATATTTTAGAGGCAATATTTACTTTACATTTCAGTGGCTTAAAATATAACATTTTGGCTTAAGTGTCTTTTACAAATACAATAAGACACTTAAATCCTGAGAGAGAAAATCAGTTACTGTATATAGGCGTACTTTGCTTCTCACAAGGGTTGTGCAAAAAGTCCCGCGTACACTGAAGTTTTGTAAGTTAAACTGTGTTTTAAACGCATTAGGGGAGCTGCCATTTAGAGGAAACTTGTGAATCCTTTTATAAAGCCGAAAACCATTTTATAATACAAGTGATCACTCTCTAACTTTTCTGGTTTGTATGTCTGGATTTTCACTTGGCTTAAAACGGAGCCCACCTGCAGAATAAGAGTGTGTTTTGCCAATGCCGCTTGTGCTACCAGACTCTTGGTTGCTAAGGGCTTACCCTTGAAAATCGGCTGCAGTTTTGTGTGAATTGAGCTATTGAGCGGTTCCGTGATGGCGCAATAACATTCCCGAACATACACGAACATTCCTGAGCAGCCAACCCATTACAACTCCACTGAACACAGGACTCTTCTGCCCAGCAGCGCCTCCTCTCTCAGACGTGGCCATGATTCATTAGAGGGTAGACTGACTCCTGTATTCACGTCCTATAATGTGCTTAGAGTCACAGGTTTTTATAATACATATATGTTATTCTGTAAACATAGTGAATTGCATGTGTGTTGGAATTTTTTAGCAGCATTTTAGCTTGAAAGTACTTGTACAAAGACTGTTAGATTTAGTTGCAAATAATTGTTCTCAAGTTATTGGAATAAATGGCAAATGAAATAAGCTCTCGTGTAAATAGACTTCTGTGCCAAATAGTGACCTTGTTTCAAAAACTGAATGTCATATTTTGGGCTGTTAATAGGCAATATGAAATATGGAAAATGTGATCAAATGACATATTTATTAGATAAGCTGTTTATAGTTATTTTATTCTGTAGTTAGCATTCAGTTAATAAATAAATATTTACTAAAAACGAACATTTGATAAGTTAGAAAAATTCTTTAGAATCCTGAGAAGAATTAATGACAAAGTATTACTGGAACCATCTTCTCTGCCTTGCTATATATTGTTCAAATGTTTACAAATTTAGGTCTTTTATATATGATCATAATTTACATATTAAAGGTAAAATGAGCCTTAAAAACATATTAATACTTTTCCATTAATGTTCATTAGTATCTTGACTTAAAAAACTGAAAGTAAAAAGAACAATAAAAGCAGAGATGTCTCTCTAGGAATTGAAAGAAAGTTCGATTTCCCACTCCCACCCCAGCCACACAGCAGCCTATGATTTTTCATTATAAAATTCTATCTAATATTATACGTGATCTAATAAATTTGCATTTGTAAAATAAGAGACAGATTGACATGCAAATCCAAGGAAAAGAAATTATGAATTCATTAAAGGAGATGTTATCACTGTTGTCCCAAAGACTAGAGTCAAAACAAATGAGAGAGATGGAGAAAGGGAGAGAGAAAGAGGGACAGAGAAAGAGGGGGAGAGTGAGAGAGCGAGAGCGAGCTGCATTTGTTACTGTAATTGTGGTAACATTATAGCGATGTACCTTATTTGGCTATTTGCATTGGTTAAACATTGAAATATATCTGCCAGGTATGCTCTATTCACAAATGTATAACATAACCAAGGATTTAAGAGTCGTGTGATGGACAAGAGGACTTGAAACAAATTATCTTCTCTTGAGACTATTAACTTGCTATATGCACAATATATTCAGTTTATTCATGTGACCTTCACAGGTTGGTAAAACAATTGGAGTAGCTTCATTTTAGAGTGTTTTATTAAAGAATGAGAGAGTCGATGCTTAGTACACTAGATTATCTGATCCTTTAGAAAGATGAGTTGAAGTGGAATGGAAATGAAAGTAATGTACAGCTCCCCATTCTGAACACATGTAATATAGAACACCAGCAAGTCAGATGTCTGTTGATATTTGAAAAAGACCATCAAAATAGATGTTGTCATTACTGAATGGGGGCTGGAAATGCACCTGATCTGTGTTTCCCTGGGCAATCACTATGTGGTTAGTTATACATCATTTTTAT